ACACAAAACAGAGATCCCCCTTATTGCCTGTAACAGACAGTTGGGGCAAGTGCTGTTAGCGAGCACCTAAGAAGGCTGGCACGGCACACGAGGGGGGGCGGGTGGCCAACACCACGTCCGGCCGCCTTTGTCTCCCCAGTGGCGATATTTACACACCGCACCAAGTACTCATTTGAGGCTGAGTTGACCTAGGGGAGGCCCAGGTCCGGTTCAGAAACTCATCCAATGGTCTTGGCCATGACGGGAGTCCAATTCGGGTCGTCGTGTTCATGGCTAAGCGTGCCGACCGCTCCACTACTGCTTCCCACTCACACGCGGATGGCGCTCTCATAGTAGATCTTTGACCTCCCAAGATCTGGCTTCGAAATCTCATTACATTTAACGCTTTATTAGACATTTTTCGTAGTTAAGACATTATTTCACTGCCTAGCACCATTTTAGTTTACATTCTCTCGCAACTTGGTACTTGGCAGGGATTAGGTATCGCTTATTTCAAACAATTGTGAGCACCTGAAGTGTGAAACTATTGCTGTAAGCAAAGGCAAGTTCGATACTTAACATAACTTCTTATAAATCAAATCTTGACTTAAAGCTTTCGTGACTGCAGGAATTCATATTCTTTGGGTTTTTCGGTAAAGCCACGTAGATAGAAAATAATAATAAATAAATATTCCTATAAATCAGTTTTAGGTTTTGACAACTTAAGTCCATAGGTGAGCGATGTCCACATAGAAGTCTTGAATCAAGTGATTGACTCAAAATATTTCACTTTTAATATGGAATACGATACTCGTATGCCTCGCTAATTCCTTGGATTGCATTCACTTGTAAAGGATTACAATCTTGGTTTTGCACTTGTACCAGGTTACGCATCTTTCTGTTAACCCTGTGCTAAACAGAACACCATGCTGCATATGGAAATTTAGCACATCCCGAGCAAAATAAGAGCCAACTCGTACCTGTCGAAATAAAAACGCCACTGCCCTCTCTCTTTGCAAGCAAGCTGATAGTTTAGCCGATTTGATTTTAGTGTTTTAGAAAAGGTATTTAATATATTTAAAAAAATTGGACGAAAGTATAGGCATGGAATAATTTTTGACAGTACATCATCCAACAGAAAAAAGTAAAATTATTTTTTATTCGGCCTGTTTACCCAGGAAAGCCTAATCGAGTAGGGAAAAAAGTGATGTTGCCAAACGAAATCCCAATTGAGTAATTTGCAGCTAATAATTCAGCATTGTAATGTTTGGCCAACACTGGTTACATTGCAAAACAAAAAAACAATTGCTATGGGAAGGAACAGAAGATGGAGGAAACGAATCCACGCAGAACAGGAGAACTCCACGCAGAAAGTCGCCCGTGTCAGGAATCAATCTAATGACCGCCACGGTGGCGAGATGTTAACTACCTCGCCTGGTATGCAGGAGGTCGTGGGTTCAACCCCGACGACTACCTGTATATTTAGTTTGAATGTGTGTTTTTTGTGGTCGTGTGGATTTTTCTTAGAGGCCTTCGATTTGTCCCCTCCACACTTAGAATTAATGTGCGTTTCGAGTATTATGGCTGAGATATATTTCCACGTGATAAGCCACTTCGTTGAGCTATCGCCCTTGGCCAGGTCGCTTCTGAAAATAACTATATCTCAGTGGGCCTTACCTAGTAAAATAAAATAAAGTTTAGTTGCAATGCCCTGTAGTTTGAGAAAGATTTAGAATGTTCTGACCCCGGTGTCTGAAGATGGCATGTAAAAATACAGAAAAGTAGTCCCTTTTCACGGAGATATTTATTTGTATCAACGCAGAATAGTTATGGGTTCTGGAAAGGCCCCCGTTGGCAGGTTTTTTTGCATTTCACATATCCTTGCGTGCCAATTGTGCTTTGCCTCGGGGCAGTAAAAAAAAAACCCGCCGCCACCGTTATATTTATTGGACCAAGTCCTGGCACAGATCAAAGTGGAGTTTTCAGTACGTGTGATATTTGTGTTCGTCGTTCGTACATATTTAGATTGTCAAATCACTTTAAGGGAGGTTGGGGGGGGGGTTCACAGCAGTGTTAAATACACATTCAGCAGGCCCGCCGTTCGCGCGTGTCAGTGCAAAGTTTCGTATTTTTTTACGTTTCAGCTAGACCGAGGGCAGATTTTACTTTGAGTTGCCTAAACAAAAATGTTGGATGTTAAAAAAAAAATATCCCCAGCGTACCTCAAATTATGGACGGCTCAGAATAAACATTATAAACAACGGGGTAAAACTGTACAAATTTCACGATGAACCCATTGATTTTGGAATATCTGTAGACTTAACTCTTTAGGTTGATTACACAGCTTTAAACAAATACATATTTCACGAAGGAAACTTCTCCTTTGTATGGGTAGATATGGTCGGCAAAATAAACTGTTCCCAAATGAAAGGAGTACACAATGCGATTCAAGTTGCGTTCAACGAAACAACACGTGACCCCTGACTGGAGATTGCTCTCATGCCCAGGTTTTCCTGTAGTCCCTCAATCAGCGTTCAGTCCCCAAACACTGGGGATGAGGAGTCATCGGCGGAGCCGATCCATTCAGTCTGTTGCTAGGCCTTACCCTCGCTCTATTTTAGGTGGACTTACGACGCAAAAATAATATTGTTGCCCAAAGTCCTGTTGATTCACGTCTTGTTCTGCTTCGATTCCCGTGTGACATCAGAACTTGTACTTTACAGAAACGTCTGATGAGCTGATGGTGAAAGGTTCTTAATGTCAATTGGTTTTTGGCCCAACAACAAAAAAAAATCTTCCCCCCCCCCCCCCCCTCAAATTGGCGTTTGTCATCTTCGGTACCGGTTTGAATTCTAGCGCTGTAATTGTGTTTGCGTTGAAGTGTTAACACTGTGGATTGTAGGTATTTTGCTTTTAAAACGTAGAAAAGTGAGGCGATTTAAGGTGTGAAATTATTCATTGCGACTCATATGCCATCGCGTAAACTGGTTCTATGCAAATTTCGCAACAAATATATTTACACAAATTGTATCATAAAAAGCTGCTCCGACAACAAGCTGAACAGTGGTAACCGTTACATTTTCTGTATGGTTTGGCTTCTTTATTCCAAGCGAAAGCCATTCCAGCTCTGCAGTACATAGACTATATTGTACACCGATTTAGCCTGCAATGTATACGGAGACACATAACACAAATTTAGCAAGCATGAGTGTGATTGATTAAAAACGGACATTAAAGTTCACTCTGTGAGTGCCAGCTGGTGTGTAAAACGTTGAGTGTCGATCAGCGGGGTCCACAGCGCCGTGGTGTTGTGGCGTACGCAGTGAGACGACTCGAGACCTCAGCTGTTGGCCAGGCCGGGTGGGTGGGTGGGGGTGACGACGTATTTCCGTTGCATGCCTCGATCTCTTCTTTGATTCGCTTGTAGGTAACGTGGAGCCTCCGAGCATGTTGGATATTTATTGGATTAAAATAATTTGAGATGATCGATACGCCGCCTGCTGCTTTCGTCGTCGGGTTTGAATGCTGAAAATGGATAAGGCACACTTTCTCTTGCAGAACATTAGCCGAGTGACTCCACTTAACTCTACTGCAGGCACTGCATCAGGTCTTTCTCTTGCACAACGTCACGACCAATCGTCGAACGAAGGCGGCGGTCACCGCATCGCACGGCGCTTTAGCGGCCGTCTGGAACGCTCTTCCTATCCGATATTAGCAAGCCACTGGAGCTATGCACTTTTAAATCTAAATTGAAAACGAATTTTTTTAGCGCGGCTGACTACGTACGGTGCGGAAGTTCAACATACAATACGTTGTACACACACGTGCAGTGTATGCGCGAAATGTTGCATTCACACGTGCGCGTGTGTACATATACTGCATGCTGCAATATAAGGTTATTTCAACAAGACTAATAATAATGGTATGATAATGCAGCAATATAGTAACAACACTTGAAAATGTGCATACACAATGCAAAGATAAGAAAAATAATTACACGAATGCCGCAAAGAACGGATTCACTTGCCGTTAAGAGCATAACTCCTCTACTTGCAGGAATATTTTCAGTGCAATTTATTACTTAGATGCGTCTCCACTGCCCTTCCCGCACCGCGGCACTCGACGCCATACGGTCGCCCCGAACGAGCACCGTCACTCGAACGATTCGCCATCGAGGCGTCCGTGTGACCGACGTCCTCACGAGTGGACGGCGAGATGCACGAACATTTTCCTCGTGCCGTTGTGCGTTTTTTTTTTACATTATCACGCAAAAAAAATATACACAAACACATACAAGGTGGTTTAACACGTCGGCTTTCGCGACCAGTATCCATAATACGGGTTTTTTTGGGTTAGATCGAGCAAAAATAAATGTGTCGTTAAACCCGCCACCACCCGACAGCCAGTTACGAAGGTTCCTCACGAGAACATGCCAGTTTGTTGCTAGTACAGCACGCCAGTGTGCTGGAGAGTAAATCCAGGACGAGTACAGCACACCGGAAACAAACGGACACGTTCTGTTTACGTGACAAACCTTACTAATTGGCTGCGTCTGGTGGTGGCGGGTTTAACGACACATTCATAGTTATGCGATCTAACCAGAAAAAAAAAACTGCGTTATGCACATACAAGGTAAATAAATTGCTCAGTAGATTCATTCACGCCTTCCAACGGATGCAGCACTCTCATGGTACGTAGCCAACGGTGCTAATCCGAGGTGCGGGGGAAGGACAACCAAAGGCAAACAGGAGTTCGAGAGAAACGAGCTTTCAATATGGATTTAAAAGCGCATAGCTCCAGTGGCTTCCTAATATAAGAACGAAGAGCGTTCCAGGTGGCCGCAGAAGTGCTTCTGAATGCACGATGCAGTGACCGTCTTTGTTTGATGGCTCGCCAAAAGCCGCCGCTGCTGCTGCTGCTGTTGCCGCCGAGGATGACCGGGGGAGTTCGCGCGAGCACGGAGGAGGTGGAGGGGGCGCGTCGTCGCGGATGCGTTCGCCGTATTAATTCATGAACATCTCTGGCTGTTAAAAGCAGCTTTATTATGGCATATGCTGACTTATACAGTTCATTTGTAAAGAACAGCGAAATAAGTGCCACTATTATAAAGGCCAGTTTTTTTCCAACACATCTCAGATGCTTTATTTGTAAGGTATTTTCATGCGGATGCATTTCTATTCTTGCAAAGATGTTGAAATTCTCATTTTTTTCTCTCTCTCGACAAAATGACTCCCTGACTTTTTCGTAGATTTTTTTGACCCGCATGACTGCCGGATTTCCTTTTTAATTCCTTGTTGGACTTTTTGTTCAATACAAATCACATCAACAACATTGAAGACATGTGCATTGTTGCCAAAGATAATTCATGGTTTCAAAGGCTGCACTTCATTATCAATTTGAAATGTATTTCGGAAAACACCAATACTGATACAACATCTTTGCATACAAAATAAAAATCCACATTCCAAGCTTTGCATTTTAGGTTCACAATGCCCAAGAAGGCAACGCAATGTACATTAAGAAGCAAAAGGTCCTCATCAGGACAAGAGCAGTTAGGCGAACCAAAAGTTAATATCATTAGTTCCGGCGAGCCAACATTTCATGTCAATGGTTCACACAGTGCAGTTAATTTTTACCGTGTTAATGTTAAACTACACACATTATCCGAGCCCCATAGCTACTCAAGTTAAAGACTACACATTAAACCGCATCAGTTCAAAATTCGTGGTTCTAGCACGAGTGACTACGGCTATACAGTATTACCAACATGCAATTGTTCTCTGTGTGTGCCTGTGTGCAAAGCCAAGGACCAGGCAATTGTCGAGCTCGAAGAGTTGAGTTGGTTTAACAATAGCATCGCCTTGGTACAAACTTGACAATACAATTACAAACAAAAGTATCTCTGTCGTTTGATGCACAACTCGAGACCTCGCACCGATTCAAACGGCAACACCATTGAACGTAGCAGTGCGGTGTGCAGCTCCCTCTAGCTGCGATGTTCTTGCGGAGTTTATGCGCACACGAGGTGCAACCACGCGACTTCCCAGTAAACTCCCAGGGCTAAGTGTACTTGCGTTCACTTGGCGCTTCAACAGAGCAGAATCTCAACGCGCCGTGGAGAAAACCCACTCAAACACACAAAGCGTGGCAAAAGAAGGGGAATGCAGCTGGAGGGAGAAAAGGACGTGAGAAATGATGAGCAAGGGACATCACAGGGCACAAGTGTCGACCCAGGCACGTACGCACATCGGGACGTCACAGCCCATCAAAATCCCAAGCGTCAGCAGAGTCCTGGGCAACAGGGGCTTCCCAATCCGGGGTCATTTTTTCTTCCATTGTGTTGCCAGACGTTTCCCTGGACTCTTTGCCGATGCTGGGTTTTCTTGGTGGCCGTCACACCTCACGTGTACGTGTGTGCAGGCAGATCATCGTGTATCTCGGCCACAGCGATACCCTTCGCTCACCGTTCTTGTATGTCTTAATGTCTTATTTCCCCCCTTTAGTTTGTCCCCTGTCATGATGCTTGGTTATGTCCTTTTCACGATTTGTACTTTTGTAAGGCGCTTTGCGATGCTGTGGAATATAAGTGCCAAATAAATGCAAATCCTTTTTTCTGCCTAAAATGTGGTACAAATTTAACAGTGGCTAAGCATATATTTAAAATGTGAATTTTTTTGGCATCCACAGGTTACGAGAAAACTAATAGAAGTATACTGCACAGCTGTCAATATTCCAGAAAAAATGCCACTCCCTGTATATATTACACGCACACATATCATGCACTAGTATTAACCAATGCCACATACCGTGATGGCAATGCATGCAAACTGGCCAACAGTTTTCTAAAGCAGTCGCATTATATTGAGCCGAGCGTGTAACAGACAGGCGGTTAGACAAGCGGGTTGAATCAATGGCGCTAAAGCATCTAAAGCAGACACGGAACACATTAATTAGTCCTTGTTTGCACTTCTTCATGATCTTTGATGTCAGTTTAACACGTAGTTAGGCTTTCGCGACCAATATTATCCATAGAAACGTTTGGGTCAGATCGTGTAAATATAAAATGTGTAAATTCACAACTGTAAATGTTGTGGATTTACTCTCCAACATACCGGTGTGCTGTACGAGTAACGAATTGGCATGTTCCGTTTACGTAACAACCCTTACTAGTTGGCTGTGTCGGGTGATGGCAGATTTAACGACACATTTACGCGATCTAAGCCAAAATCCTCCATTTTGGATATTTAATGTGTTTGGATATTTTTTCATTCTTCTAAAACGAGTAGTACCTCTCAAACGTTTACATTTCCAGGAAGATGTTTCAGCACTTGGCAGGAAGTATGAGATGTTTCAAAAGTATTTCACTGTATGTACGAGAGTCCATTTTAGGATTTTAAAAAACACTAAAGATGTCCACAATGCTATTTCTTTCAGAACTAAGATTCAAGAATTTATTGACATGATGAGCTACTCAAAAGCCACATTGTTGATTGAATGTTTTGAGTTTTGTTTAATAAAAAACACTATGAAATAGATGACGAGCTGGCCCTTAAAAAATACTACCTATTTTTAGGGTAATAGCAGTTAGGAGTACAGATGAATTCAGTGCTTGGTGAGTTCAGCCAACAGCTAACAAGATATGTACATACCTGTCAACCCACTATCAGTGCCTACCTTATTACAGACCAATCCAGACTTTATTGGTCACCCCGTTGATACCATTACAACGTTGATACCACCAAATCCCACCACAAGGGAGAAACACAAATACATAGAACTTTTTATTTTTTGCCCGTGTTGAAAAGGCTGCTCACTGTATGGACCTGAAAACTCAATTTCCCTGTATAAGAATATGGGCAAACCGTATGGGCTGACAGGTATGTATTTGTGTAGAAGAGTCTCTTGACCACAGCACCACAACAAAATTCCCAATGTTAGCTCTCCAAAGCAACTTGTAAAATCTACATTGTACTCGCCAAGTAAGATTACATTGCATTCAAATATTAAAATCACTCAAAAAGTTACACAACTACTTCAGCACAGACAATGCACAGCACAGATATCAAATACAGCTTTGCAGTAAGCTGCAAAGCAATTTTGATTTTTTTTTACCTAAAGTACTTAAAAATAAAAAAAATACTAATCCTGTGATATGTGTGCAAACTGATTCTTAAATATGCACTTGACCGACAGCATATTTTCTTTAATTCAATTATTTTGTGAAATTCAGAACTGCATTCTCTGAATGCAAACAACCATTCACTCATGTACTGGGCACTGCTGCGAATTTTTGGAACCACAAAACTCGTCAAAAGTTTGGAAATTACTATTTGGCTTTAAGCATATACGTAAAAAAAAAGATTTCTTAACAACCAGATCTAGTAGTGATCGATGCATTATTTTTGCTCAAGGGGTTAGCTAAATGCTTAACGTTTGTTAACAATCTCAAAATGTGTTTCACCATGCACCGCCATGCACCAAAAAACAGTACCAACTGGTCAATAAAGAGCGTGATTTCCAGTGACACTCGCTTCCAAAGCTTGTGCCGTACAACAAAGGTTCGATATCATTAGGCTGGAGCACCCTCGCACTTTGCTTTTCACGATTTTACAACGATGAGATACGTGCCTGATCTGAAAAGGTGCGTTGCCAAGCATCAGGTGGTGGGGACACCACTGGATGCAATTGTGTTCCTCGTTTCTTAGAAAACTGGTCAAAATTATTTACATAACTTTTCCAAGGTCATTTAAACTTCATGACATTGTTTTGGTTGGGCTCACCAATTGCTGTCCTGCGGACACCACAAAGGACCACGTACCCCCCTGCAGCACAAAGTCACGGTTATGCGAAACTTCTGCCACGCGTCGGCTCGCCACGCTAAACTAACCGCGCGCCAATCCCGGTGAATTTCAAGCGATGGTATGCCACCGCGGCCGGTGAAGACGCGGGTCTAACCCGATCACACGACACGCCGCGGGCAAACATTCAATTCGCAGGCAGATGGGACGGTTAAGTTTCGTGGCGACGGCTTCCTATTCACTCGTCGACTGCCTTAGTGGTTCCGCACCGGGAGCGTGCGCGGAAGGCGACCTCTCGGGTTATGGGGGGCGGGGGGGGCGGTGGCAAGGGTGCGGGCCGGCTTACAGCAGCAGGCAGCGGTGTCTGCCCTTGCGCTTGCGCACCTGCAAGGCGGCACGGGTGGCCATCTCGAACACCTCGCGCACGCCATCCTTGGTCTTGGCCGAGCACTCCATGTATCCGAAGGCGTTGATGCGGTTCGCCATGTCCCTCCCTTCCTCGGACTTCACGGGCTCCTACGGCCGAGGAGCACGGCCAACACAGCACAGGGGCGGCGATCCCTGGGTCAACGTGGCTTTTGAAATCGCGGCTGGAGTTGCACGCGGCCACGTATGGCCACGCATTGGAATTCTGTCCCGTTTAGTCAAATGTATTTAGTTTGTGTAGACGTTTTATAAAAAAGCATGTTTTATTTAACGTTCGTATGGTTCAAATACATGTTTTTACAAAGTCTAAAACAATATAAGTAGCCTCTCATTCAAAGGAGGACCCATCCTTTTACAGTCCGAAGCCATTGCTAGAAACGCCATATTTCTATGGCAAGAGGCATCCAGAGAGTTATGCTTGACGACTTCCCACAAAACGTTACTCATTTTTTTTTATCAGCCCTCGAAAAATGGAGGGGTGGGGGGGGTGGGGGGGGGAGGTCAGGTCAACTTCCAGGTGGGATTTTAAACTCAAAAGTCCACCTTCTGATTTGCGAGCCATGCTCAACGCTCACATCCAGGCGAAGCGTATCCCCGCCAGCTGGCTGGAGGTCGTGCCCCCTGCCCCGCCGCGTGAAGGCACCAGCGTGCGCGCCCCCCCCGGCTCACCTGCTTCATCTTGGCGAGCTCGCGCCGCGTGCTCTCGTCGTTGCGCAGGTCCTTCTTGTTGCCCACCAGGATGATGGGCACGTTGGGGCAGAAGTGCTTCACCTCTGGGGTCCACTTCTCGGGGATGTTCTCTGGAAAAGCGCGAGCAACGTCGCCTCAGCCTCTTGCGTTCAAGCAAACGCAACGGGCACCAACCCTTTCTCGATCATCGTCGGCATCAATGTCCGCCACCAATCCACCGCCGGATGCAGGACTCGGCCAAGCCAACCGCCACGTCTCGCTGATCCTGCAATGCAACTATCCACCCAAGCAACTGCTGCACGCGGGACCGATCTCATCGCTCCATCTCCCCGGTGGACGTGCCCCACAGACGCGTTCCATTCCTTGTCCGTTATGATTCTTGCCCGCCCATCGACCGGTTCAGCGACGGTCATCTCTCTTCTATTGTTACCCCTGGACCAATTCAACTGTCTCTAAGTCTTCTTTGGGCAATATAGGTGCAAATGCTGATGTTTGTCTGGTGTGTTTTGGAATACCAAAACGTTTTTTTTCTTTATCAAGAAAATGATTCATTTGTCCTATTGAAATAAAACCCACTTCACGTGGTCACCCTCATGAGGAGTGGGGCAGACACGAGTGAGGATAAGTGGTTAGAAGGGAAAAAAAAAACTGAAATAGACACACGGCAAGGAAGTGAGCACAGCACTTTGTGAAGTGAACGCATTCTAAAGTAGCAGTTTTAAACTACGGTTACATGCCGCACCAAGTTCAAGTTTCAGGATTATTGTGTAACCAGGTGCGTGTGCTCGAGGTACCATCAGTCTCGTTTGCAAAGGGTGACCTGGGTCAACATGTCAATAACATAACTAAACGCTATTCATCATGCAACACTGGCACGTATTGCAATCAACATAATGAACGATTATATCACAACTATAATGCATATGAACGTCTGGAATGACCATGTAAATTAAATTATCTATCTGCTGAGTCTGTGTAGTTTACAATATGCAGACTGGTGAGGGTAATAGTTTGTGTCAGGCCAACAGAATGTTTATAGCTTTTTTTTTAAAAGACAAGTGCTGTACATCACCGTGTGAAACGAATTACTCCGAGGTTATGTTCAAAATGTGAAGAATGGAGGCTGCCCATCCGCCAATTTACGATCGCTGGCACATTCATTAAAACACATCTCTCACCCACTATGGTATACTTTTCCACCATCTCACTGTTATTTCGCGAATATAATTTCACTTAGCACAAACACCGCTTTTTGTCTTGACAAGTTGGGGCACACCAGCTTTTACGGTTAACACGAGAAAGGTTTTGACTCAAGGAAGGCAATTTCTTACATCAGTATGAAATCCACTATCTCCACCACAGAGGCCTGTAAACAATCACAACCGGCCGGAAACCGGGAGAAGAGAAATGGGGTGGACAGTAATTTATACGGTTCATGCAATTGCCGATCCGATCTGAGCCAAGCACTAAAACAAATCCCAGATTCTGGGCTGCACACACCTGGGAATTAGCGTTTATAAAGCCTGGGTGGTTAGGAAGGGAGGAGGATAAGTGGGTGGCCGTGTAATGCGTTTGGGTTGTGCTTGTAGACACAGGTTTTGTGCGTGTATCTGGGTATTTGTGCAGCGAGCTCCTATTGTGATCATATATACAAAACCGTCTCGCCCATGATCATCGCTCCTTACCCGCAATGGATTGTCAGTCTAAATTAGGATATTGCATGTATTTATGCAAAATATAGGCAGCAATATGTAAATTCTTCTCCTGCTCCAACAGTCAATAGCAGCCTTCATCATACTGCTACTTTGCTAACGATAAAACTTAAGGAAAAAGGCACTTCCTGAAACTTACATATTACTTTTTCACAGTACAGTAATAACTGGAAACCAACCCCATTCATCAAATGGACACCTAAACAGCATACAGCTCCAGCTCAATAGTGCCGTATCCTCACACGGCTCTAGAACTCATTTAGTAGATGTACCACATTTTTAAGCCCTCATCCTCCCTTGTACATATTCTGATATGCTGCCCCTGATCTCATTTATATTAATCTTGAATTGAAGCTTTCTGGAACTGCAGGAATCCATACTCTTTGGTTCTTTCGGTAAAGTCACGTAGGTATATTATTTGGAAAAATTGGGTATCGTGATTGCCACCTCCTCAGTGACTGTTCAGCATCATTACGCATCATTGAAACGAGGGCTTTACGGTTGAGGGTACAATAAAGGTGGGAAAAAACCCCATCAGCAGCGGAGAGTGCAGGCTGAAGCACTGCCGCTCGGCTCGCTTCTGCTCAGCTGGCTGCTCCGCTGGACCGGCGCAACACAAAACTCCACGAGACACGTCGACAGCATTTGTGCGAGCTTTTCTACGGTTAAAAGAAAAACAAAACTTGAGAGCCGGCACACAAAACTCGTAACGGAATTAACCAAATACTGGGTGTATTGATCAAACGGTTAAGACAGAGGGGGCAGGCTCAGCCACAAGAGAAAAAGTACAATGATCCTTCAGGTAATGACCCTCTCTTTACGAATGATGTCGGCGATCAATAAACATCCACGGTGAACCTTTGCAACAGGCGACGGCAGGCGGGCTACCGCTCGCCCGTGCCACCGTCAAAGCAATGGGCGCGCGCCGCCGCACTCAATGCCCTGGAAAGCGCCACTTCTCCAGCAGCTCCTACCCAAACTGTCGGGACTGTCAATGGAGAAACACATGAGGATGACGTCTGTGTCCGGGTAGCTCAGGGGTCGCAGGCGGTCGTAGTCTTCCTGCCCTGCAGTGTCCCACAGCGCCAACTCCACCTGGCAACCCGCGACCACAAGCACACAGCACACGTGGAGAGAGCGGTACCAGGCTGCTCAGGCTATTTGTCTAACCCCTTTGCTGGACAACTAAGACTCGCTCACATATACACAGTACAATGCACTCTCTCTCCCTTATACGGTTTGAAATACTAGACATCCTGATTCACCCTCACCCCACCCCCACCACCCAACTTTGAAATTATTAAAAATTTAGGATCGCGATCACGAACTTGGTGGCTATATGTCTCGTTGCTTCCGATTAGTTTGCTCCGTTTCATTCATCCCAAGAACCTAAAAGTAACAATTATCGACGATCGCGTAAAATCAGGGCCTCGACATGCCCTGTCGGTCGTGGGAACTGTCTAACTACACTTCACCGTGCTGGTCAGTGTGGGTAGGTGAGATGGTACGCGGCACCGGGTTGGACATCTCTCACCACTGATGTCAGCCGTGGCTGGGAATCAAATTAAGGTGACCGAAGTGATCGCGCAGTCCACAACCACTGCCACACTGCTCCAACGTTTGTATTGTTAGTTTCTCCAAAGATAAAATATATTTGCATACACTTCACACAAATTGTAAGTAATTGATTATTCGATTTTTATACGTCCGATTTGATGTATTTATAGTGACTATTCATCTTAATCAACCAATGTGATGCTTGTTCATAAACCTGTTTTATAAATAAAACTTCATTTAAAACACCGGATTATAAGTACCAATATCGTTGGTCCTTAAGACACACAAAACTACGAAAGCATGTTTCAACCAATAAATAAAATTACCATATGCATTATTATCAATACCTCACAACATTTTGACACCACCATAAAATAAACGCCAACTCGCACCAGTGTATGACAAGAGTAGAAATGTTTCTGCAAAAAAAACTTCTAAAGTTATATATATATTTTTTAAACATGAAAAAAGAAGCCACCCAGAGCCAAACCCAGGGAGAGGAAATATCGAGAGAGGGAATGGGAGAGAGGGAATGGGAGAGAGGGAATGGGAGAGAGGGAATGGGGAGAGAGGGAATGACGAGAGAGGGAATGACGAGAGAGGGAATGGGGAGAGAGGGAATGGGAGAGAGGAAATGGCAGAGAGGAAATATCGAGAGAGGGAATGGGAGAGAAGGAATGGGAGAGAGGGAATGGGAGAGAGGGAATGACGAGAGAGGGAATGGGGAGAGAGGAATGACGAGAGAGGGAATGACGAGAGAGGGAATGGGAGAGAGGGAATGGGAGAGAGGGAATGGGAGAGAGGGAATGACGAGAGAGGGAATGGGGAGAGAGGGAATGACGAGAGAGGGAATGACGAGAGAGGGAATGACGAGAGAGGGAATGACGAGAGAGGGAATGGGAGAGAGGGAATGGGAGAGAGGGAATGACGAGAGAGGGAATGACGAGAGAGGGAATGGGGAGAGAGGGAATGGGGAGAGAGGGAATGACGAGAGAGGGAATGACGAGAGAGGGAATGACGAGAGAGGGAATGGGAGAGAGGGAATGGGAGAGAGGGAATGGGAGAGAGGAAATGACGAGAGAGGGAATGACGAGAGAGGGAATGGGAGAGAGCGAATGACGAGAGAGGGAATGACGAGAGAGGGAATGACGAGGGATTGACGAGAGAGGGAATGACGAGAGAGGGAATGAGAGAGGGAATGACGAGAGAGGGAATGAGAGAGGGAATGACGAGAGAGGGAATGAGAGAGGGAATGACGAGAGAGGGAATGACGAGAGAGGGAATGGCGAGAGAGGGAATGGCGAGAGAGGGAATGGCGAGAGAGGGAATGGCGAGAGAGGGAATGGCGAGAGAGGGAATGGCGAGAGAGGGAGAAGCCTGCATCGCCTTCTCTGACACGAAGACCTCCCGAGTGACTGCCGAGAGACCAAAGGGGGACCCAGATGTGGTGCCCATGCACTGAAATGCGCAACAAGGCACCCTCCCACACCCCAGAGGGATGTTGCACCAGGGCCACCTGCAGGCGCATCCCCAACTGTCCATCACGGACCAGACGGAGACAGCGCTACAACCAATGATCCAGACCCAGGCATCGCCAACAGCGATGGTGGTGGTCACAGCTGGTCCTGCCCTAAGGCGCAATACACAGACCCAGCTGCGGGTTGATTTTCCTGCCATTACTCATGTTTAGACAAAAACTGAGAGGTGGTAAGGATTTTATATATCAGCTGATAAGAAATATTACTAAACCTGTGGCTAGCTGCTGTACTAAGGTCCCCGGGGCCAGCAGAGCAACCGGAGGGAAAGGAAAAAAATAATCTACTGCTGCAAATATATTTTTTTATCACAGCGTGCTGCTACACTGCATCTCCTGTTCTGCGTCCATATACAAAGCATAAAATCTGAAGTGCGCATGCGCGAGAGCCTGGGCAAAGTGATGCAATCGCAGCCTTGGTCGCGCGGTTCCGGATCGCTGGCTCGTGCGAGTCGGTGAGGGCGTTGCCCCACGTGGCTGTGCAGAGCCAGGGGCGACCCAAGGAGGATTAACCTCTCTCTCTCTGGGTTGGCGGTTTTTTCATGCATTTCTTTTGCGAATTAAAAAAGAATCTGTACCGTGCCGAGTTGCGACGAGTTGGCATTTACAGTATGCCGGTGGTGTAGCTACAACAAATATATAGACTAATGCTTCAGACAATTCTTCAAAACAGAGAGGACACAATGAGTGAAGAATAATCCTGGACTGCACAGCACAATGCCTTGAATACAGTGCTTTCTAGAAAAGCCCAAAGCGTTAGCTTCACATGTACCCTTGAAAAGAAAATTCCAAAGCGTTAGCTTCACATGTACCCCTGAAACAAGATGGACAGCCCTTTGTCAATTAACTGCTGTATGGAGGCCTCCCCTCACCATGTGGGTTTAGGGAGCTGCTTTGTCTTACTACACCACGCTGGTCAACGCGGGTTGGTCGAAGGTGAGGGCCAGGCATGACCGGTTCAGGTATCACTCACCACTGATATTCACCGTGACCGGGAATTGGGACCTAGATTTTTAGGTTTGTAGTGCATTGCACTAACCACTATACTACCACTAACCCCTCCCCCCCCGACTTGTTACATGTAGTAATGTTCATGAGAATGGTGGTGAGTTGTATTCATGATTGTGCACCATCACCAATGAGTGTAATAACTATATGGTACAAGAACAGCAAATGTGATGTTTGAAAACACTTGAGGATAAACATTGACAAAAAAAATCTCCCAGACTTACAGGCTGCTGTGGCGTGTTTTCGTGCCAATACATGAATGCATCAGGAGAAAAACAACCCCCTTTTGGCAACAGTTCACTTAACACAAGGAATCCACCGAGTTACAATGTGTCAAGTGTTTTGTGAGACTTATTTCGTGCACAGGCTTTGTTGCTTTCGCACATACGGAATAAAAACGCAGGTCACCACATACATCCTTATATCAAGCGAGAAGCCGAAACCAAAACCAGATGTTAACTACCTTGCCTGGTATGCAGGTGGCTGTGGGTTCGGTCCAGAGCCCGACACCTGCTGTATATTTGGAGTTTGCATGTTTTCCCTGCAGTCGCGTGGATTTTTTCTCCGGGTCCTCCGGTTTTTCCCCTCCACATTTATAAACATACATTTAGGAGTATCTGGCTGCTTTACATTTCCACATAAGCCACTTCGTTGAGCCATCATTTGTGGCCAGGTCGCTTCTGAAACAGCGCTATATAACTCTCAGTGAGCCATACCTGGTAAAATGAAAATACTTTAGTTTAGTTTGTTTCATATGTGATCCAGAGATTACTGATTCGCTCTCCCAGCACGAAAGTCGATCGGCAGCTAATGTGGAGTGAAGCATGGGTGCTTCCATCTCTCCCAAGGTGTGTGGCCAGCTTGGTAGATGAGGCCACTGTGTTCTCGAGAGGGGCTTTCTAGAAGGGCTCCCTAGAGCTCCCGCTTGTGGGGTCCCATCCTCCAGCATTGGCGAGAAACAAGCAATTTCAGGGGCTGCCTTAATTATACAAAGTAACCAAAACATGTTGTTCAATGTGTGTAAAAATATCTTGTTGTGTTTATGGAATGTGATTCTTTGGTACGATAGCACACACTATATAAACAGAAAGCAGATTGTCTGATTGTAAGGAACACTCAAGGCACAATTTAGGTTTGGACCCATGAGTATATCACAAATCATTTAATTTCACTTTAAACGAAGAATCAGATTTCTCATGTTTTCCATGGCACACGAAAACATGATATTCTTGCAATGTGCTGATAATCTGATGCACTACTTTTCTGAATTCATAAAGGGGTTGTGTCCATCATCCTCATATCACACCTATAGCCGAAGGCCTCAAGCCAATGTTACTGCCGCACTCGAGGCTGCACAGTTGCAGGAAGTGTAACTGGACTGGGACCAAGCATAATTGCATCACCACGGAATCTGCCACAATACCATGGGCGACGGAAAACGGATCTGTTGAGGCAGAGCAGGGGATTGAGCAAACCACAATGCCATTAGGTTTTAGTGGGGCGAGCAAACACACAAAACATTTTTAACGGGCTCAATTAGAGGCTCACCTGCTTGCCATCCACCTCAATGTCGGCCACATAGTTCTCAAAGACGGTGGGCACGTAAACCTCAGGGAACTGGTCCTTGCTGAAGACAATGAGCAGGCACGTCTTTCCGCATGCACCATCCCCCACAATCACCAGCTTCTTGCGGATGGCCGCCATTCCTGTAACCGCAAACACACACCGGAGCAATGCTAAATGGCGTCGGCGTCATACACATCGTACGTGTGGAACAGCTCAGGGCAAGCGGTAACAAAGTACAGGTAATCCAGCGGACTCTTATTAAAAAACATTTTTAGACCATTGCATACAAAAGGAACGATTCACACCTTTGTAAGGGTTGGGAGTATTTTAAGGCTGGGGTTATTTTTGAACATAAACTGTGAACTCGCAACCAATAACGTGAGCCACCTGGCAACGCAAATGCCGAAAAATGTGTTTCATACGCAAATACTAACACAGGTCGAGACATTTGCTGACCTCAAGCTAGAAAATCAGAACAAGGTATCTACATCATGAGACCTCCTTTGCCAGTACCAACATATAAGAATAGGTTTTTACCCTTTTTTTGGCAATAAACTTAAACCTTTAAACGAGGAATCATGTCTGCATTAACCACAATACTTGTGGTCAGAATGCAAACATGATTCCTTGTAAAAAGGTTTCAGTTTTGTTGCCAGAAAAAAGGGGAAGAACCTTTTCTTACAGAACAAGGTAATACATTTTGACTTTCAATACATGTGTACCTATGTTGGACAATATGGGTAATAAGGTATCATACATAATGCTCACTCCAGTGTTTTAGCGAGGACACCGTTGTGAATTAAAATCCTGGTTGGGAATTGACTCAGGCTATTATTTATTCATAAGTAGCCAGGATCTATAGACTGCTGCATGATAGCCTCTCAAAACCATTAACATCTCTCACTTCTTTGTCATGATACAATGATCATCTAGTTCCTGCACACAGGATGATTTCATTGCTCCATCTCCGCGGTGTTCATTCTCTCTCCGGCACGTTCCTTCCTTTGGCTGCCGCTCTGTAGTTCGTGGGTGATGGTCGAGAAACCTTTCCCGACACCAGCTTGCTCATGTATTTGGTAGGTTTATACATTTCCAGTTACCCTGTTCCCAATGGTATTCGAAAACAGGAGTAAAACTTGTGATATGAAAAAACGCAAAGCTCTTGAACCAGATTACATAATTGTGGACATTAAATATGAAAGACGAGTTGTTGGAAACAAAATTAGCGAACCTATTGATTAAATAGATACACGAATGAGGTTAAAGTGTATCACGGAATGATGCCTCATTTACCTCTAAAAAAAGGTGTTAAAACTGGCTTTTACAGATCCATTCGCCTCTTACCATATTATCCTTTAGAGGGTAATAAAATACCACTTTTTATCTCCGTGGGAGATATAAAGTGACTAATAAAAATATGAAATATCACAGACAAGAAGTTCTTGTACCTCCACATTTGATGTCAAGTAACACACAATCTAGCCATCACATTTTACTCAAGAGCAAATAGCACAATAACACTGGAAATTCTTGACAATATTAAGCAATAAATATAAGACGCAGTAAAATCTATGCATTTTTATCTCAAACATCCTCATCACACTTTCATTAAATAATCATAAATCCCACCTATTGTTATGCTGACATCATAACAAGCATGGAGCTGTCAGCACCAACAAAAATGTCTGATGTACGATAATGCAAAGCTTCGTATGTTTTCAGTATTGTTTACACCTCCTGCAGAGAAACCAGTGGAGACAAGTGGCAATGCTCCCGAGTTTGGTTAAGAATCTTGACATGCACTGCAAAACGTGCAATTTAAACGCTTAATAATCAGACGTCACACTTCGGGCCAGGATGTGATGAGCTGGCGAATGTGTAAGCAGTGGCTTCCTAACGAAGCTGAACACTGCCTGTGACCTCTAGGATGATCTATGGGAAAACTCCTCCAGTCTAAATTATACACAACGGCACCCAAAAATGTACCTGGAACACAAAACCATAGTTCTACTCAAGTGTTCGGCAATTAATGATTATTTTAACGCTGAAACATTTTTTTAGTAGCTATCCATCTCATATCTGAAGTAAAACTGGAATGCGCTGCATGTTCCAAAAGTGAATACAATTCAGCATTTAACACTTCTCAAACAACGCTTTGGCACAAGAACAATTAGAGATGCTCGAAGTAAAATATTCCTTGAATAAACAATAAACTGTGGCACAATTATAACGGTGCACAAACCAAGGCGCATTGTTTGTAACCATATTCATATCACATTGTATCGATATAGCACACCATGCATTTTAGAACGTCAGCTGCTCTGCACGTTTCGCGGTGTATTTACGACACGCAATTGGCAAATTTTCCACTGCAGACATGGCTGCCGAGCATATATACTTATCACAGAGGATGCACTCCGGGCAGCGTTGAATAAAATAAAATCCACAGCAACACTAAACCTACGAGAACCACCATTACGACATCTGAACCCGGTTACACTTAAATAAATATAAATTGCCTGTTTTGTTTACATCAACGCTTGGCTTGACCAATATTAGTCATACTAGCTGTAGCAACGATCATAGGAATCTTCGATATGGTGACTATCACATAACCCACAATTACATGTAGAAACCTGTCGTAACTCGGCCACTAATTGGGGACAGGGGGCTCACATTTTACACTCGAATTAGAATTTGGACAATAGATCACCTATTCAGTGACTGTTTTAACACGTAGGCTTTCGAGACCAATATCATCCATAATAATACAGGGTTTTTTGGACCCACTTATCACTAGTAACGAATTGGCATGTTGTGTTTACGTGACAAGCCTGACTAATTGGCTGTGTCGGGTGGTGGCGGGTTGAACGACACATTTATATATTTACGCGATCTAACCCAAAAAAAAACCCCCCTCTATTATTCAGTGACTATTGGCGATCGCAGCATCAGTGTCAACCGCGAGGGTCCCCTCCCCACTCCCCTGATCACTGCTCAACAACACACCGTGTCTTCAGTGCTCAACGCCCTTTGACGACAAACCCAACTATGCGGGTCGCACCCTCCACCGAGTGCGCCGTTACCTGGTGGGCAGAATGGGGCTGGCCGCCTTTCCCCGACAGGGCTCGGTCTAAAGAGTCAAGTTACTCCTGATAATCCTCACGTGGGAACAGCGCAGACACAACAAACCCTGGCCGAGGAGCACAGAATCATAACATGGAGACGCGCCAGAGAGGACGGTGCTTTCTACTGCACTCATGATGCAACGGACACGTGTTAAACCCCAGGTAACAAAACTAATTATCCTCAACACACACTTGTAGAAGTATCCGAAAACAGCAGTTTTACGAAAAATGCATTTATAATAAGCTAGCCGAAGTGTTGCTAATGGGTTGATATATTCGTGGCTGCGTTTTTCTCTCAAAGAGGACTCTGGATGTTTGGACCATAACACCGCATCCGTTTACTTGATGTGCATGGCCAAAAACATCATTCGCATCACGCACTTTAATAATGTCATCAACACCAAGTATTGCTAGTGCCAGTGGGCAGTATTGTCGGGTCTCAAAAAGAAATCAAGCGGCAGCTGGCAGCTTTCAACAGAGTCCATGCAAAGCCCAGTCACACTGCATGATCGGGACAGAAATCAATACCGCCCTAGATTGTACAAATACAGGGTACTTCAACAAAATGTTAACACTTCTGAGAATTTGCAACAATACCGCAAGACATGTGCTGTCTCCGGGCTCTGGAGACCAACTGGAGAAGATTCCAGGTACGTGTTGACAGTGATGGCGAACAAGTGGAGACTCTTTGACTTTTTGAAGCTATTAACATTACATTTGTTATCACGTTACAGTGTATTATCTGCTCTTTTTACATTAAAAACGATAGTCCCATAACATTGTAAACATTTATTCGAAGCACCCTGCATTGCGGTGCGGACGTATTTACACACGAATACAAACATTACGACATCCTTAACTGAAATGAGGGAGGAGACTTGAGTTCCCACGGACGCGAGGGAATAACAAAGACCAGCAGCAGCATCATCACCAGCATCATCATCATCAGCACATGTACCCATCTGCCGTGATGATGTCACCTCTTGGCGAACCTTGCAGCACGATCCATCATCATTCATTCACCCTCAAGCACTCAACAGAGGCGTGTGTCTGTGGTACCGACAGAGACGTCTCTGGTTTGGGCTCACGGACTTAATAAATGCCCACGGGGCTTCACGACTTCCTCCAGCCTCACAGTGGAAATAATACTTCTCCATAATTTAGGTTATTTTTTTTTGGGGGGGGGGGGTGTTAGATCGCGTAAGTATTGTGGCGTTAAACCCGCCGACACAGACAATTAGTGAAGGTTTGTCACGTAAACAGAACGTGGCCAATTCGTTACTAGCACAGCACACCGGTGTGTTGGGGAGAAAATCCACAACATTCACAATCCGAGTACGACGTGTCGCCAGTAATTACAACTAGCTACACATCAGACGGACAGCAAGATTTGGGGATACATCCTCCTGTTTCATTCCTTAAACAGAGGGGTCGATTTTGATTTAAAGCTTTCGTGACTGCAGTAATTCATATTCTTAGCTCTTTCGGTAAAGTCACGTTGAAGGGAAACAATAAAACAATAAAATATATATGTAAAACAATATATTTTATTGTTTCCTTTCAACGTGACTTTACCGAAAGAGCTAAGAATAAGAGGGGTAGATGTGATGACATCACTTGAGCCCTTCACTTCTACAGACCCAGAAGGTTGTACAAAGGCTCACTCGCGTAACAAAACACCCTCATGGATTTCAAGCAATACTTAACCATCGACAGGTTGTTATTCCAGAATATACCGCGATACATTAATATAAACAACTACTATTGACGAGGCTTGCAACGATTTACCCTCAAACAGAGGAGATATTTCGCAATTCTGGTCGCCATTCTATTAAATGTGATGCACCGTATCATCTCCCGTGGCACTAGGGTTTACGTGAACCAATTATACCCAACAAAATAATCGATTAATCGTTCCATACCAGTTGTACGATGCTACGGACACTGCATATACTGCACATCGTTTTAAGGAAAACGATTACATATCTTCTCGGGTATCGAACGAGCAAATTATATGCTCATTGCTTCATAAATGAGAAACTCGACAAACACTTAACAATTTAACAACTAACAATCTGCCTTTCGCACATCTCTATACTAAATCAGCCTGCATATATAATGTATAGGTTTAATAAACAATGTATAGTTTTATTTGCCATCTGCTCGTCCACTGTCTGGAATGTCGCGTAGTCTATCGTGACATTAGAATTAACTACCGTATCAACGCTACGCCAATGTCTTATGAGCATCAAGTCTTTAGCGGCAAGATTCCGCACGCTATCTTGATTACGCAATGTCATGTTCTCGTTAACTAATCCTCGTCGAACGTTTTAACGCGCCGGCAAGCCCCGGCCTCGCCCCTCGAGGCGGGCTCCACCCACGCCCCGCGACTCCAAACCGCAACCGAGGGCGGCGGCGAATCCAGGCAAGCGGCTAGGCTTCGGCGGACAACCGAGCGGCGGACTAGGCCTCCTCAGGACGGACGGTCGCCTTGTGTCCGACAATGAGAACGCCGCCACACAGGAGCGACGCGAGTACGAGGATGGCGGTGGCGCCGCTCGCTCCCTCCCTCCCTCCCTCACTCACCGCCGGCGAGCACCACGACTCGGGTCGGGAATCTCCGCTCGCTGCTCTCGCTGAGACCGCCACCAGTGGCCGCCGCTGTCTCTGCCGCCACCACCACCACCACCACCACATTCCCTACCACGCATCCGCGGGCCCCCGCCCTTGCCCGCGCCTCCCCATTGGTCGCCGATTTCCGCGACACCAATCGCGCGCGAGCGTGTCGATGGGTCGCCAGGACGGCTCTGCTGGCCAATGGGGCCGCGCCCTGCGGGTGCTTAAGTGCGGTAGGGATTGTAATCGCACCCCCATCCCCTCCCACACCTCCCCCCCCACACCCCATCACCCCCCCACACTTCCCCCCACACCTCCCCCACCACCCCCATAGTTACTGGGATGGAAACCCGCTTAAGTTAACGGTTACCGGTTCGCACAAACACGTACAGAAAACGTCCATGCGTACTAAGCGGAATTTGTTTTAAAGAGACAATCAAATAAAGACGAGTTTTACAAGAAGCAGGGCCGTTGCCCGAAACGTCGCCTATTGTATGTTACCTTTTGATGTAATTAGTGTTATTGATGGATGTTCTTGGGAGCCAATGGCATCCTCTAGAAATGATCATGGGGCCCAGTGATGAGTCACAGGGTTGATTATTCTCATAATTCGTTTGTGAAAAAACACATTCCTGCGGAGGGAGCTGGTAGGAACGTTGGGTTGCTCGGTCAATGGCCAGGGTCAACGGCACCACCACGTGGTGTATTCCGCAAATATGCCCGACCGTAAGGGCGGGCACAAGCCGGCGTGAGTAGGTGAAACGTTGAGTTTTATAAGGGCACCACGGGGTGACCAGCCCCTCCCCACCCAGCCCCACCCCTCCCACCCCCCACCCAGCCCCATCCTCCCCACCCAGCCCCTCCCCACCCTCCCCACCCAGCCCCACCCTCCCCACCCAGCCCCTCCCCACCCTCCCCTCCCCACCCAGCCCCATCCTCCCCACCCAACCCCTCCCCACCCTCCCCTCCCCACCCAGCCCCACCCCTCCTATTTTTGGATGCACGACGGACGGACGGACACAATAATCCCCTGTGGGCTGGTGTAACCAGGAGGTTCCTACCAGTATAACAATAGGCCATACTCTTTGGTTATTTCGGTAAGGTCACGTAGGTAGAAAAATAAAATAAAATAATATATATCACGACGTTTCGATCGCAACACAAGCGGTCGTCCTTAGGCGGAAGAAAAAAATAATCCAGCAGTAGAACTCATGAACCAGCGAGAGAGCTGTTACAACAAGAGGTTATTTACGTGGCGAAAGGCAAGCAGGCAGGGTCTGAACTGGAAAGGAATTCCATCCCCGGACGCAAGCACCTCAGTTGTGTTAATGGGGGAGATTAGGGAGAGAGATTAGGGAGAGAGATTAGCATGAAATGAGCTTCCGTCGCCGCACAAGAGTACCGTCCCCGCATATGCGCGCAACAGCAGTGTTAATGGGAGATTAACGCTATGTTGATGGAGGAGATTAAGCAGAGAGTTTAGAGGGATTAGCAAGTTAATGTCATGTCTATGTGTAACACAAGCTGCTGCGGCGCTGCCAACTGCGCTGTGAGAGGCAAGCGCGTCCACGCAAGGGAACCACCGCAGCGGTGGTCGCGCCAGTGAGACACACAGCCCATCACACAGCCAGAACCATCGATACATCGAGGCTAAGGGAGCAGAGGTGGCCATGTTAGTGAGACCCCAACCCATTAATGCAGAGGCACCTAACAGGGCAATGCAACTCAGAGAGTCGGAGATAACAGCCAAACGGCAGGGAAGAATGGAAGCACCACATCAAGTTACGACTTTGCTTGATGAATAACGTCCTTCCAATGATTGCTCAGCTTTTACCCATCTTCTCGGTTGAAATTGTCTCTGCTTATATATCTGGATGGCTTCATGCACAAATCTTTGATGGTAGCCCGAAGGTTTGCAGAGTAGCAGATGGTTGTCTCCCCATGGTTGGAGATAACCATCTGAGGACCCAATCAAAACCATCACCTTGCCATGCATAGCTAGTGTTACCAAAAATAATTCCAAAAGATTAAACAAACACAAGATCCAGTTCCGATTCAATACAGTATATAAAATCCGTGATTTGATCCCATCTGTGAAGGATGTAATTTCTAACATGCAATACCACAACATTTACAATCTGAGTACGACGTTTCGCCAGTAATTACAACTAGCTTCATCAGGCGACAGCCAGATTTGTGGAGAAGTCTTCCTGTTTCGTCCCTTATATAGAGGCGTAGATGTGGTGATCACGCTTCTGCGCTCTTGCGCCACGTGGGGGGGGGTGGATTAATGAGTCAACGTACATGATGCATGTGCAATATGTGAGCCCTTTGATCTTGTCCTTCCTGTCTATTGTGCGTTTTAAACTAGCCGTACCAACGGTAATCCCTATTGAAGTATGCGCCCTTCATAGGCATGCATTTAAATAAAGTATTATTTTATTATTCGCTTCCACACAGCACTAAGGCAGTAGCTATCCGAACGGTTAAATTATTTATATATATTTTAAATTTCGATAGATTCTCTAATTAGTCTTGGCCAGTAGTAGCTAGTTTTGCACGTAACTTCAACATCAGAGACATTAAATTCTCCCAAATGCAACTGTAAGCAGTAGCAGAACACGCGTGCCAGTAAGGACACTCAGTTGATTTTGATAACTACCTCGCCTGGTATTCAGGAGGTCGTGAGTTCGATCCCGACCCTGACGCCGGTATATTTGAAGTTTGCATGTTCTCCCCGTGATCGCGTTGATTTTTCTCAAGATCCTCTGGTTCTTTCCTCCACTTTTAGAATAAACATGCGTTCAGAGAATTTGGCTGCTATAAATGTCCACGCGATGATACGCCACTTCATTGAGCTATCAATTGTGGCCAGGTCGCTTCTGAAATATAACTCCATAACTCAGTGGGCCTTACCTGGTAAAATAAAACATAGTTTAGTATAATGGATTAATATAATAAAGGTTTTTGGGTTAGATCGCGTTATTTATAAATGTGTCGTAACCCTCCACCACCCGACACGGCCAATCAGCAAAAAAAGTGTCACGTTGACAAAAGACAAATAATTCACTACTTTAGCCCACCGGTGTGTTGAAGAGTGAATCCACAACATTTACAGTTTGAGTACGACGTTTCGCTGGTAATTACATCCAGCATCATCGGGCAATTCGCCAGAATGGTAAAGCCCTCGCTTGCTCCCGGTCTTAAATAGAGCAGCAGGGTGACGTCATCATTTAACTCATTTCAGGTGCAGTGATTTGAGGTGGAGGGTGGAGTATTGTAATTATGTAATCGATTAGTAATCAGTCAATGGTTATGATTAGTAATGAGTTGTAGACTAGTAATTAGTTGTAATGTGTTAGTGATTATATGCTATGTTAGTAATCCGTTAATTAGTATGTGTTTCCCCTATAAGGAATTGTAATATGTATTATTTAATAATATGCTTCCAGGCCGCACTAAGCCTGTAGCTGTCAGAGCGAATAAAGTAATTTTTATTCCTCTCAATTTCAATAGATTCTCTAATTAGTCTTTGCCAGTAATAATTAGTTTTACACAACACTTCAACGTTATCAAAATCAATTGAGTGTCCTTGTTGACAAGCATGTTCTGCCACTGCCGACAGTTGTGTTTGAGATAATTTAATATTTCTTTGATGTTCTTTTAGTCTTACGCTGATGTTACGTCCCGTCTGTCCAATATAGCATCTGCCACATGAACAATTAATCCGATATACACCTTCTGTTGATAATTTAGGTAATGCGTTTTTAGTGCAAGATACTTGTTTTTTAATTTTGTGTACTGTACCAAATCTTACTGTAATGTTTTGCTTTTGCAAAACACGGGCTAATTTGTCAGTTACGCCTGAGATATATGGAATTTTTATTTTTTAACAATCTGATCGCTTTCAGCAGTATTGCTTTGCGATCGTGATTTGGCATTCAGTGCTCTGTTAATTTGAGCATTATTGTAGCCATTCTGTCGTAGTGCGTCTTTAACGTGTTTGATCTCTCTCACTAGACTTTCACCATCTGACACTGTTTTAGCCCGATGTATGAGCGTCTTGATAAGAGAGGATTTCTGAGCTGGATGATGATGCGAATCTGCATTCAGATAGGCATCAGTGTGCGTTTGCTTTCCGTAAACGCTGTGTTATTTTACCGTTTAGGCCATATCCAAGCAAAATATCTAGGAATGGGAGTGTGTTATTCATCTCCATTTCTATGGTGAACTGGATGGCCGGGTTTTGTGCATTGAGATGATTTAGAAAATCATTAAGTGTATCTTTACCATGTGGCCAGACAACCAAGGTGTCATCCACATATCTAAACCAAAAAGATGGTTTTAATGTGCTCGAGGCAAGTGCTCTTATTTCAAAGTTTTCCATGTACAAATTTGCTATAGCAGGGGATAAAGGAGAGCCCATTGCTGCTCCTTCCTTTTGTTTAAAGAAATCCCCTCTCCATAAGAAGTAAGTGTTATTTAAATAATGGTCAGCAAGTTTCGGAATATCTTTTGGTAAACCTGTATTCTTTACTAGTGTATCAAGTAATTTAAGCGATTCGTTCACTGGAACCTTAGTGAATAGAGAAATCACATCAAAACTTACCAGAATATCATTAGGATTAAGTTTAATATCTTTAATCACATTCACAAGATGTTCTGAATTTCTTATGAATGAAGATGTCCTACCGATGTAGGGCTGTATTTGTTTAGTTATATATTTTGCTAATTTATATGTGGCAGAGCCAATTGTACTGACTATGGGTCGTAATGGGATGCCGATTTTATGAATTTTTGGTAGCCCATAGAGTCTAGGTGGTTTTGAGGCCCTTGGCTTAATTTGGTATTGCTCATTCTTAGGGATTAATGAATTTGCAATTATTGCAGTAGTCTTACGTTCTAAAGTATTAGTTGGATCTCGTTTAATTTTAATGTAGGTACTTTCCTCTAGTAAATTTCTAATTTTATTATCATAATCGGCTCGTGACATCACTACAGTAGTGCGGCCTTTATCAGCTGCCAGGATTTGGATATCCTTATTTACATGCAGCTCTCTTAAGGCTTTTGCCTCGTTAGAGCTAATATTTACTTTTGGAACTTTGCTATTCCCAATTATTTTTGGCAACC